GCTGTTTTAAAGCTAGTGGACCTGGGATACCTAGAACTTTCAGATGAATTTTTTGGGAGATGAAACCAAAGGTAATTATACAAACTTTTGCTTGAAACTTCATAAACATTTTAAAATCAATCCTTTAGTTTACCATAAAAATTCAATTTATATGGTATTTTATAACACAAAACATCGTAATATGTAGGGCTGGGCAATAATATCGATATTTCAATATATTGCAATACAATGACAAAAAATATCGTATCGCAATACGATTTTGTAATATCGATATATTGGCAATATACATAGATTAAGGAATTTTGTCATTAAATATAAAAATGGACTTATAAAAGTTTGTTATTAAGCCAAACAGTAAGTCAGAAGTTGTTTTGTGGTAAAATTTCAGAGCATAACTTAAATGATATCAACAAGATTTTTTTCTGTGTTGGTTACTTATCATAGTTGTGTACATTCTGCATGTAAATTAAAGTAAATATAGTAAGAAAATGCCATTTTTATTACATTGAAAATATTGCAATACATATCGCAATACATTTAAAAATATCGCAATATATCGCAATACAAATTCTCAGGCCAATACCCAGCCCTAGTAATATGTACTGTATAATTCAATTTAATAAAAATTCAAGCATTCAATCAATGTGGTTGCATAGACTATATTTGTAGGAGTGCACACTATCAGCATCTTAAGAAACTGGATCTGATTTTCATTTACATATTCTGCTGTAAAATCACATACTTTTGTCAGGTCAAATTTTCAGGTATTGGGAGAAAATATGGGTTCATGGGGATTTGATTTCAAGGATGAAAACTTAGTAGTAATTCTGTACATTCACATATGAAAAATTACATTTTGTGGTGGACATAAATTCTGTGGGTCTCTTCATACCTTGAAAATAACGAAAAGTAAACCCCAGTGATATATTAAATAAGTAATTTTACAGTAATCTTTGCTCTCCAGTGTTTACAGTCATGTTTGACATTTCTTTCCACCAAAGGCGCTAAAAAGAAAACACAGACAAATATAATACGTTTACAGTAATCTGATTAAAATCAGAACCCTGATCTGCTCCTTTATTGTTTCATTGTCACTACATGAGTTAGTGACAATAAAAAAATAAAGGAGCAGTTCGAGGATCTGATTTTTAGCTCTTCCGAGCCAAAGGCTCAAAAAGCTAATGCTATGGCCATTTGTCCGGTGTGCGGTGTGCATAAACTTTTTAGAATATGGGCCATAACTCAAGAACCCCTTGGCCAATCAGTACCAAATTTGTCACAGGTACTCCTTGGCCCAAGGGCTACCATTTATACTAAAATAAGGGTTGGGATCCTTAAACAGGGGAGATAATCGGCAAAACAAAACCAAAAGTACTGGTTGCTAAAAAATCTTCTTCTCCATAACCACCAGGCAGATTTTCAGCAAACTTACATACAAGGATCAGGATATATATCGAAGATTAAAATTTGCATGGGGAATTACCCTGGGGCAAAGGGCGTGGTCTCAAGGTCACTTAAAAGTTGACCTAAATTTACAATTAATAAAAATGTGTATATTTTGCTTACTATAGGGACTAGGATCATCAAATCTTGTAAGTTGATGCATCTTACATTTCACATCATGTTAACTAAAAGTAGGTCACGGTGACCTACTTTTAAATTTTTGAGGGGATTTGTTTTCAAATTGATTTGAAGGCATATTTTGGACACTTTAAGGCCTATGATCATCAAACTTTGTCAGTTGATGCATCTTGGGTCCTTGAACAATTTCAACTTAAAAGTAGGTCACCATGACCTACTTTTTGAACTTTATGACTTATCCTTTTAAAAACATCAAATCCCATTATTTCAGACACTGGGAGGTTTAGAATCATCAAATCTTGTACTTTGATGCATCTTGGGACCTTAAAACGTATTTATGAAAAACTTTTTGAATTTTGCTGACATTAGTTTTCAAATTGTTTAAAATGCATATTTTGATTACCTTCAGACCTACGATCATCAAACTTGGTCAGTAGATGCATCTTGGGTCTTTGAAAAATGTCAACCAAAATGTAGGTCACGATGACCTACTTTCCACATTTTATGGCTATATTTAAGTATCTTAGGTATTTATTGGCTTAGAATCATCAAACTTTGTGAGTGGATGCATATTTGGTTTTCGGAGAGTGACAACCAAAAAGTAGGTCATGGTGACCTACTTTTGACATTTTGTGGCTATAATTATGTATCTCTGTTACTTATTGACCTAAAATCATCAAACTTTGTCAGTTGATGCATCTTGGGTTTTCGGATATTGTCGACCAAAAAGTAGGTCACGGTGACCTACTTTTGAATATCTCAGGTACGTATTAGCTTAGAATCATCAAACTTTGTCAGTTTAGGCACCTTGGGTTTTCGGAGAACGTTAACAAAAATAGGTCACTGTGACCTACTTTTGACATTTTATGGTTATATTTAATTATATTTGGTACTTATTAGCTCGGAATCATCAAATTTTGTCAGTTGAGGCATCTTACGGTTTCATTGAATGTCCAACAAGATGTAGGTCACGGTGACCTACTTTTGAATATCTTAGGTACTTATTGGCTTAGAATCATCAAATTTTGTAGTTTAGGCATCTTGGGTTTTTGGATAACGTCGACCAAAAAGTAGGTCACCGTGACCTACTTTTGACATTTGATGGCTATATTTAATTATCTCTGGTACTAATTGGCTTAGAATCGTCAAAGTTTGTCAGATGATGCATCTTGGGTTTTCAGAGAATGTTGACCAAAAGTAGGTCATGGTGATCTACTTTTGAATATTTCATGTACTTATTTAATTAGAATCATCAGTCTTTGTCAATTAATGTATCTTGAGTCCTCAGAAAATTTCAATCAAAAGGTAGGTCACTGTGACCTACTTATGGTATTTTATAATTATATTATAATAGCTTCAGTTTTAACTGGCTAAATATTATCAAACTTTGTAAGTTGATGCATTTTGGGTCTTATGATACTAATAGAGTTGGAGGCTTCTAACAGAAGTGATAGATTGTACAATTTATCAGAAGAGCGATTCAAGGCCCTTGGGCCTCTTGTTAATTATTTACTTGACAGAGTTCTTTTTACCTTGTTTTTAGTATTTATTAATCATTTGTTTCAGATACAGCATCAGGAAGATTCTTCATCAGAACATCAGGTAACAGTCATACTGAAACATACAGACTTAAATCTCCTTTACAGGTTTCATAATTGATCTTTCTACATCATTCTGTAAAATTCTATTTTATAGAACATGACAGAATGAAAGGCTAACTTTTCCCTGGGAAATCTAAAGCAGTATTACTCAGTATTATGTTCTAGTCAATATAACTTGATAAAGTTTGGTCAATGAGCTTTATGTTTTAGGTCTTCTGAGGAACCACTACAAAGGGAGGAGAAGACACATGATAGAGACCAGAAGAGTGGAACATCTTCTACAGCATTCAGGGGGCTGGGACCCAGCACAAGGAAATGACATCATAGACACCAGAAAACTGGTTCTCGACAAAAAGACTCTGGCAAATGTCAAGTCATCGGACAGAAAAGAAATGATAATGAGACAGATTTTAATAAAGGCACCTGACTATCCACCTGGTAATATTGACAGTATTTTTTATACAAATTTTTCCATAGTGAATTAATTATACTGGAATCTCGTTGTCTCTCTGTCTTTCTGTTTCTCTTTGCAATTGCCATAATTTTGAAATTTAAAGGGGAAACAGAATTTGAACTTGATACAAAGATTGCTGTAGACATGTAGTGTATTTAAACTTTAAACACAGAACATAAAGGCAAGTCAAAGGTCACTGACAGAAAAATGAAGTCATATTCAATGCATAACTTTTTAATGAAGAGATAGTTGATGTGTAGGGGTGGGACGATATACTGATACACCAATACATATCAATATTTTCCTCTAAGATACGGTTTACGATACAAGCATTCAAATGTCGGTACGAAACGATACACGAACGACCTATCCAAAAATTGAAAATGAAAATACTTGTCCTTGGAAAATGGCCGCTTGAACGAAGCGAAGAGACGATGATGATATTGAAAACATAATGTAGAACTAATAAGTTGTTGATTAGGGGTAAAATGTTTTCCCTTTTAAGCAGCCTCGGAAGATTGGACAAGAAAAGTTCAGTATGTAATGCGTGCTTTACACAGAAAGCATCATTTCCAGAACATTTGATATTACTAATTGTTAGTCCATCTCGTGCTTTTTTTGTAATCTTAACTAGGCTACAGACTTTCAGGAATTGATTAAAATTAAATATGCTGTTTTTTTTATAGGAAATTATAGTCAGTGTTCTTTGATGAACAACTCAACTGTTTGTAAACAACTTGTTTATAGAAATTTGGTAACAATAATATGTACATGCATTATTGTTTTTATAAAGTTTTAATCAATGAAATTGATGAACTTTAAGTATTAATTTCAAAGCACACATGATTTTATATAGTCTAAGAATAATTTGTTGATTTAATGTCAAGACAAAAAAAAAATGAAATAAAATACTAATTCTTTTGCGAATAGTTTTATAATTTATCATGTAACAGTTGATTTAATGTCAAGACAGAAAATGAAATAAAATACTTTTTTATAGTAGTTTAATATCATAATATCGAGATACGTATCGTATTGTGCTAATATATCGAGATACGTATTGTATCGCAAGATCTGTGTATCGTCCCATCCCTATTGATGTGCAGGAAAATGCTTGGATATGTAGGAACAGCAATTTCCAAGTTGAAATATGCTATTGACATTTGACAAGCAAGTTAATGAAACAAGGTTATCAACACCGTCTCGATTTAAAGTCAATATTTCGTTAGTTCAAAGTTCAATACAATGACCTTATCAGCAAATTCAAATAACATGTATCATTAATTTGAATACTGACTAATTACTTTTTGTTATCTCATATTTTTTTCTCCTTAAAAAGAGTACTAATATGATATTAATAATTGTGAGATACTTGATGCAAGGTCATTAAGTCAAGTTGAAGACCATTTTAAATAAAAAGTACAGTTTGTGTACTATTAAGGAAACATTGGAAGCTCCAGCTTAAAACGGAGATTGCTTATAACATGTATTATGTGAATTTGTGTGTGACCTTGAACCAAATTCATTTGGGTCAGTTCAGTTATCAAAATCTTTGGTCATTGAAATTGGTCCAGAAGAACATACCGTTAATTATTTAATGTTATTAAAGTATTATATACATCAATACTTACAACTGATGACAATTTTTCTTTGGAATGAATAAGATATCACATAAATATATTGATTGCATTCTTCAGGAAGAAAACAGGTTTACTGCCATCTTGGATACTTTCTTCTGGGAATGGTGGTAG